CCCAGTTTTACCCAATTGTCACTACTTTCGTAATATCTAGGTCCACAATATTAGCTAAAAGACAAAAAAAAAAAAAATCAAATTCGACACAAATCTGCAATTGCGACGGTCAAGTCCGCAATTACGACGGTAAACTGGTTGAAGTTGATTTTTTTTGTCTTTTAGCTAATATTGCGGACCTGGATATTGCGGAAGTAGTGACAATGTGATAAACCCGGGAGAGAAATGTTTAGGAGACCAATTTGAGTGTAGGAAATGATCATTTGAGTCAATTTCTCATTGATTTATTATTTGCTTGAGTGTAGAACCATAGACTATCACCCTTTTTTTTATCATAGAAGGATCGGGAATCCATCGAGAGCAATCAATAACACATCGAGATCGATCGACAACCCATTGGGATCAATCGATACCAGTCGAGACTAATCAAGAACTCATCCATTGACTTGGTATATGTTTGTTTGTGTAAAACCATAACCTAACACTTTTAACTTTTATCGAGATGGATCAAGAAATCTATCGAGACAAATCGAAAACTCATCCAGATCAATCAATAACCCAATAAAGGAAAAAGAAAAAGAAAAACTACAAGTACGTAGAGTTAAAAATGTAGTATACTCATGATAAATAATATGTATATGCATATTATGGTGAAAATTATTATTTTATGATAAATATCATACTGATATAAATACTAGAGAGTTATTGTATATACATGATCATACATAAATATTCATGATGAATTTTACAGTGAAAATATATATTCATGACGAATATCATACTGATGTATGAATGTTGAAAAATTGTTATATACACGTGAACATATATAAATATTCATGATGAATATTATGTATAAAGACGGTGTCTGAGCCACTACATCAAAGGCTTTTTCATAAATATATTGATAAAATAGCTTATTGATGTATGCATATTAAAGAGTTATTGTATATGCGTGAACATATATATATATATATATATATATATATATATATATATATATATATTCATGATGAGTGTTATAAAAAACGTATATTAATGATGAATGTTATAATAAAGACGTATATTGATGATGAATGTCATAGTGATGTATGAATACAGAAGATTTGTTGAATACACGTGAAAATACATAACTATTCATGATGAATGCTATAGTAAGTTGTATATTCATGATGAATGCTATAGTAAGTTGCATGTTCATGATGAATATCATATTAATGTATGAATATCAGAGAGTTTGTTGTAAACATATGAACGTGTATAGATATTCAAAATGAACATTACATGTATATACTATTTGACGTAAAAAAACATTAAAAATATAAAAAAAAACTATTTCAAAGAGAATGAAATACTCGATTTTTTTTATATAATTTATTTGATTAAAATATTAATTATATATAAGATAATTTAGTTTAAAAATTAAGAGGGTAAAAGTTTTTTAATTAAAAAAGAAAATCTTAACTTCTACTTTTGTCTCTAATCACTTCTTAATTAACTTTTTCATATTTTAACCATCGATTAGTTTTCTAAATTTTGATCAATAACCAAAATTTGTCCTCATATTCACAATAAAAAATGAATTTTCATTTAAATTCACCCCTCTATAAAAAGAGACTTCAACCATGTTGCATTCTCATTATACAATCATTAATTTTTCCAGATAAGCAGCAACAAATCCTTATTTTTAACTTTGATATGTATTATTGTTACAATTTTTTGGAAGTATGTAACTACTTTTACACTAGAAAAAGGATTTAAGATATGCGCCAAGCACATTGAATGGACCTCTTAATCATTGATAAGGTTGCCAACATGGCTTATGAGGTGTGTATATCTTGTATAACTAAAAATTAATATATATATATATATATATATATATATATATATATATATATATATGGAATAGTTCAAACGAGAACACCAACATTTTACGAGAATCCATGAACATTTTTTTACAATAGACAATCACATGTGATACTATTATTATATCACATATGATACACATGTGATACTAAATTAGATATGCGAGCGATTTTCGACACGATCTTGGTTGCGGAACAATTCGCCCTTACACCACTAAGTCCCCTCACATGTATTATCCCATGTGATAAGGGGGTTATTGGTATGATATTATAATTCATCAAGACTATCACATGTGATGCTAAATCATAGACGCAGACAACCTTTAGGACGACCTAAGTCGTAGATTACGTCTTCCGTAACCACCAGATCCCCTCACGCGTATTATCACATGTGATAAAGGTGTTCTCGTAAAATAGATGTGTTCTTGTTTGAACCTCCATCTACATATATATATATACATATATATATATATACACATATATATACATACATATATATATATATACATACATATATATATATACATATATATATACATACATATATATATACATACATATATATATATATATACATATATATATATATATATAAGGTTGAGTTCACATGAGACAAAGTTGTTTTCATGAGACACGTGAGACGCAATTTTTACACTTGAAAATTCACAACAAAATGTTGTGAAAGTAAAAAAAAAACCGAATCTTCACAGTAAAAACATTGTGAAGGTTACTTTCACCGTGTTTTGCTGTGAATTTTAAAGTATAAAAATCGTGTCTTTTGTGTCTCACGAAAACAATTTTATCTCACATGATTCCAAGTTTATATATATATATATATATATATATATATATATTAGTTAGTTTGTGATAATTGTAAGATTCAATCTCAACTACAAATCAATGATTAAATTAGAAAACTAATAATTTTGGTAATTTTTTACTTAAAAATTTAATTAAAGGATATTTTAGGTAATTTATAAATCTTATATATTCTCTCTTCTCTCTCCTTTCTTCGTCGAACTTTATTCCGGCAAAGACATGATGCACACTGTGATACGTTTCGTAAAACAACGAAAAAACACAGTGTGATACACTTAATAAAACAACATTACCTGATATATTGTGTTACACCTCGTAATACAACAACAATATATTGTGATACATTTCGTATAACGACAAAAATACATTGTGATACACACTATGATACCAGATATGGTTGATGAATACAACTATGATATCACTGTATTACACTCGACGTTACATCTCCAAAGAGATATAGGTTACATCCAAAAACCTTACATATTCTGCGTTACATCTCCGATGATATCTGGGTTACATCTCCGACAAAGATCTAGGTTACGTCCCCGATCTAAAATGAGACATGAACAAAAACCAGAAACCGAAATCGATCTAGGTTTGCAGAAACCAAATCTATTGAAATATGAAAAACCAAAACCGATTTGGATTGTTCAACAGGGGGGAGTCGGACTTGTGAAGGTGAGAGTTGAGGAGATGATGGCCGATGGTTGGAGATGGATAGAGAATAAGAAGCAACGGTGGTCGGAGATGGACATAGAAGGAGGCGTCGTACGGTGTTGAGTCAAGGGATCGGTTTAAAGTGTCGCACCGGAGAGGAAACACGTTTTGGCCGGTGATGGGGAAAGAAGGTCACAGGTGGTGATCTCGTCCATTTTAATATATATATATATATATATATACACACACACACACACACACACCCCTATTTCAAAATTAGAATATTAAACTAATTAAAGTAAATCGAATACTCAACACAATTTACTAATTTATCCTTCTACTTATTTTAAGAAATCATAATAATTATCCTGAATGATTGGTTCATGTTGGATTTCACGATTACCACAAACTAAACAATTATCATTTGATTAGACTCATATATTGTATTCATATCATCGTATAGTAGGTTTAAAGTGAAATTATTATCTTAAATATAGGAATGATATGACTCTCAATTAGATTTTTTATTCTTAGTCGTTCAAAAGGTTATCAAAATAGCTTATAAAATGTATTATTGTTATAAATACGATAACTATGGCAACCATAGAATATGTTAATTGTATTCATATTATGGTATAATGGATTATTCATTTAATTTTAAAACCAAATAAGCTTAAGAATCATATTACTTGGTAAAATGAGATATCATAACAAATACCGATCACGACATATTTGAAAGTAAATACATTCACATTTATACATGTCATGATACCATATCAAACGTAGACTTGGCATATGTAGTTTAATCATTCTAACCTTTTTTATTTAAAATTCCGCAATAGTAATAACAAAAATGTTTTTTTTAAATCAATACAAGCGTACGCTCATATTAAAAAATAAGTCACAAATTTACATCACCTTTCAAACGTGTCAGTTTTAAGTTTTTACATACGTATTACAAATCAGAATGAATCTGACACATATAATAATGTCGAATAAATCAATTAGAATAATACGGATTTAATACTTAAAATACATTTTTCATTGGTTGTTTGAATGTTAGATTTTAAAGTAATAATAATAATTTGTTAGAATCAGTTAATCATATAACTAGATTCAGATTTTCATCATTTTACGATTATTTTTAGTAACCAAATTTCTTACACCCAATTTAATTTATGTAAATTTAATTATTTTTCTTTCAAAAATCATGATTAATGGGACGTTTACTTTAACACTCACTGTCGGTAAAAGACAACACATTAACTTATTTTATTGGATAAGATTGTATGCAATAATATACCATATAAATACTTATCGGGTAAGAATTGTTACATTCACTTATTGAGTAAGTCTCTCCATCCTTATCGTCGCTTTTATATTTACCGCATAAGCCTTCAACAAATACTGGATAGCTGCATGATAATTTATAAAAAAAGAAAAGATTAGGAAAATAAAAATAATAAAATCATTTTAGATCTAAATCTACAGTATTATTCTAGGTTTTAATTGGATATTCATAATTGGTGTCGGTTGACTTTGAAGATAGAGGAGGCTAAACTAAACACGCCACTCTCGCAAGGGTTGGTGATATTTGAAAGGGATAAAATGGTAAAAGAACATAGCAGAACAAGGGGCAAAGCCGTCAACAAACTATAAGGAAATTGGTGGTGATGCATCTGTATATATACACACACAGTAGGGTGTGAATATACACACAGTCACACACAATCGAAGCAAGGGATCGCGTAATAGAGTGGCATATGGGAGAAGAAATGTGTGGAATATAAGCGTTGGAAGAAGATTGATATACACACATACAGATGATGTATGTGTTTAGTGAGAGAAAGTTGTAGAGAGAGAGAGAGAGAGAAAGTTTCAGTCATTAGTCGCCGCCATTTTTGTTACGGCGGAGGAGAAGTTTTGGTTTTGATTCGTCGGACCTTGTGGAAGGATCGGTTAATGTGAATCGTTCGATCTGTATTTTGATTTTTTTCACCAGGTATTTGAAACCCTAGTTTGCGCGTGTGTGTGTTTTGATATATCTCTTTGTTTGTATGTGATTTGTTTTGTTGAGATTCGAAAGATATTGGATGGTTCGATGCTTTGCTAGATCGGTTCGATTGATAGCTTAATGAAACGGAACTTGTTGCTTCGGAAATCTGACTATAGTCTCATTTGAAGTGTTGAAACGAGTGATGGATTTTGATGGTTTTCGCGATTGGAAGTGTTTTGTTTTGTTTGAAGAAATATCTACGTTTGGGGTTTTCTCTCTTTACCGGTGTATCTCGGAGTTCACTGGCGGCATTCTTCATAATTTTTATGGTGATTTTCTCTCTCCGTCACTCCGTAGATGAGTTCACGGCGTTGGGGACTTACCGGGCTCGCGTGCTGGATCTCGATTTACATGCTCATCGAACTCATTTTTGAAATCACTTGTACTTGTTCGTCTGGGGTATAAGAATCAATCTGCTATTTCATGTTTAGGTCGATTTGGTGGATCTGTGGTTTGTTGCTGTGAGCTTGTCTTGCCGAAGCTAATCTCGTTTTTATTCTACTTAGGTTTAGTACATTGAGGGATCTAATCTCCTTAGATGTTCATCATCGAGACGTTTTGCCCCAAGTGGCAACAGGTACTGGTCAATAAGGGCGTGCAGTGCCTTCACCACAGATATATATTTTGTTCTTTAGAATTTCATAGATCTCCTTAGGTTGAATGGAAAGAGATTTTTTGCTACAAAATATTGGAATCAATGGCTTCAATTTGAATCAATCTGAGGCTGTTTGAGACAAAAGGCATGGAAAATGCTCTCACTACTCCTAAAATCTCCATCATACACAGAATGTTCCTGCCTTTGTGGAGATTAGGGAAGTCCTAGCACATGGATCAAAATCTTCTCCGTTGAAGGCAATTTTGAACTTCGCCTATCATGTTATGCTATGGCTTACTTGTTTCATATGATTGTGATGGAAGGCTGTTTATTCGTGACGTTGTAAGGCCTCTAAGCTTTACAGGGAAAATTTGCAGCATCTCAAATAGAGTGTTGGCTTCGAGCTCCTATATGCTTTAGATCATGTGTGATGTGCTGTCTTGCTCCGAATACCCTATCTTTGATTTACAATGCCGTCTGTTATTTTATAGATGTTGGATTGATCAATTGTATTAAGACCTGAACATAAATGTTTTCACTAACGAAATTTTGGGATCATTCTGAAGTCTGGATTTATGAATTTGGGAGTTTTTGTCTGCTTTTACATTTTTGACCTGAAGTATTGAATATCTATCCCCTTTTGTATGAATTGCTCTGTGGTTCGATTAATCATGTATGTTTTGATGCTTTACAGGTTGTGAATTCAGAGTACCTTGGGTTTTCAAAGCGTTTATAAATTCAACTCTATCTTCAAAGGCAAACAATGAGGGGCCACATCTAATGGTTGGAGTTGAAATCACTCGAAATATCCTGTTTATGAAATTTTTGATGTTATAGGGAGTTTTGATGGAGGTTATTGTTTCTGGACTTGCAGATTCATCTGTGTACCTGTACTGGGGATTCAGCCTCTACTATTAGTTCAAGCAAAAGACGTGGTGGAACTGTGTCCTGTAAGAACTGTGGTGGAAGGCCTGCAATTGATGGAAAAAGTCCTTCCAGTTGTCTGCTTAGCACTGTTTTGGAACTTACTAGTCTAATCAATTCAGACTTCACTTGGACAAAAGTTTCAAAGGGTTGTAGGAGTGCATCAAGGAGACCTCGGAGGTCAAATACAATTAATATAGCCTGTGGAGGACTGCTAGCTAAGGATTCAACCGGCTTAGAAATGCCTGTTTCTGAATCAGAAAAGGTGATATTCACTTAATTCCGTGCTCAACAACTTCTGCTGTTTAAGTAAATAAATATGCTTTTAGCAGAAACTTCTTATCTAAACACAATTTTGCCAATGTGTTAATTTCTGAACTTGCAGTTGGGAGTCTCTGTTCTTGGGTGTCACTTCAGTGAGAAGGCTGAACACATACCGATCAAGAAAAGGAGATTCATATTCAGGGCATCATCTCCGCCTAGTAACATCCCTAATCCATCCTTGGAGAGCGCCGAAAGGCATGCAACAAGTCCCAAAGCTTCTAGCCATGGGCTTCAATTAAATCCAAACACAACTTGTGTGCCTGCTGAATCTGAAGCAGTTACTGGAATTTCTCAAAGAGGGAGTAATGATGATAAACTGGATGAAAAGGAGTTGGTGAAGGCCAGTAAAGAAGCTGGTGAGGATGATGACTTCTCTGGCATATCTATCCTTGCTGCTGCAGCATGCAGTAATAGTTTGGGAGCTGAAGCTGATCGGTGTGAAGGCTCAGGAATGGTCTCATCTGTGACGAAGAGTCCTGAAGTTCTGAACAGGGTTGAACTTCAAGAAAACAATGTTAAGTCTGCTGATATCTGTAAGGAAGAATCGGATTCACATACATCAACAACTCCCTCTAAAGGTGTTTTGTCATCCACGAAGGACTATTCCCCAGCAGATAAGCTCACATTGGATAACTCCTCTCCAGATGAATCCACTTTGGATAACTCCTTTTCACAGGCTCCTTCGGAATCGGTTTTTAGCAAGTCAAATGAGGAAGCAAGCATAACCCAGAAGTCTTCTGCCCGAGATGTCAGATTGAACTGGGACTTAAACACTGTAATGGATGCATGGGAAGAACCATTTGTAGGTGAGCATGGAATATCTGCATCTGATGCTGCACATGACAATATCACATTTGTGGAAGAGAAAAACAATAATTGCATTGAAGACATCTCTGGAGATTGTGAGCTTGGAAGTGGAAGGGAATGTGGAACTACATTGAAAACCACCAGCAATCTAATTTTACCTGTTGAATTGAAAAGTTTGGCTCACGAAAATGAGGAGTTAAAGCTGGGAAACCATAAACCAGATGGTTATGCTGAAATCACTGAACCATTATCTCATGAATTTGATAGTGCTCAAGATAATGTGGTCAAGGAACCAGAGTCCTTGCACAGTAAGCAAATAAATAGTGGTGATGATTCCATTCCTGTTACTAGGACCCTAACCTTGGAGAATCCAACACATGGTATTTTTTCGAAGTGGGTGAATCTCGGTGGCCAGCGACCTGGTGGTTTAGGCTGCACTGAGGCTGTCGACACAGAGTTGTCGATGGACTGTTCTGTACCACCTGGTTTTGATCATTTGCGTGCATCCAAAGAAAATGTTGGCTTTTCATCTGCAATTGTTGGTGTTGGAAATAACTCAAACCTTCCCACTTCTATGACACAAACAATCATGACTGTTACCTCAAGATCTGAGTATGATAAAGATGACTTATCACTTACGCCTGCAGCCTCTCTGGACAATGGAGCCGATCAGAGTGGGGTTACTTCTAATAAAGTTGATGATGAAGCCAAGATGAAAATGGAGTTAACCAGCAATGTGGTTGCTATGGAGGATTTGGTCAGCAAGGGGACTGATCTTTCCAAAGAAGCTGATAAAGGAGGTTCCAAGGTGGTGTTGCAGACAACCTTTGATGAAATTCTTGTGGCACACTCGTCAGTAGTAGCTGAGGACCAATCTGCTGATATTTCTCCTCTGCATGAGGCTGAAGTGCCCATGGAAACTGGTTTTGGTTATGATAATTCTCAGAGTGACAATAGAGCTGGAAGTGGGATTGATAAACTAGAAGAGCTCTCGGTTGGATATGATTCTCAATATGAAGACGGTGAACTGAGGGAATCAAGTATAAATGCTTGGAAGGGATACGAGGGAAATGGGAATGTGGGAGAAAATGAATATGACATGGACAACATGGGAGATGGTTATAATCTTGGTATTGTCGATGCCCAAGAAACTAGTTCTCAATGTGGAGAAGAAGGTTCTTCAAGAATAAAATTCACTGATGTCGGATCTGGGAGAGAAGCAGATTTAATATCCAATGTACTATTGCCAGAGAAACTGCAGAGCAGCGATGAAGTATCTGGTTCAGGACCAAATGAGATGATCAGTGGTCAAGAGAACAGTGAAAGACAGGATGTTGTGCAGCATCCAAGCCAATCATATGAGTGGAAGATGAACGTTTCTGGATGGGATTTATTGCCTGAAAACCAAAGAATCTCTTCAAATAATTTCACTAAAACCAGAAACTTTAGCAGTCGAAAGTTTTCCTACAGGGAGCAGAAAGATGGGTTTGAAACAGAGGACCTGGAAACAAAGGCCGAAGGATCAAGATTCTATAGGAAAGAACCACTAACGCGTATTGGAGGACCATCTACACGAGACATGTTTCTTAATAGGGGTGGATTTCGGATGCAAGGATGCAGGTACTACATACTACAAGTTACCATTATGAAAACTCCAATCTGAAAGCTTGAATACTGGATTGAAGTAAAACAAAACATATTACTGTATTTTGTTCATCGATCGACGTCCATTTTTACTAATGATTTGTGTATTTACAGTTCCAAGGCTGCTGATGGCTTAACCTCCAGACCAGAAAGGGAATCAGGTGCATTAAGATCCTTTGGACGTGGACGATACTCCCCACGTAGTCGTGCTAGTGGTCGAGGAGGTGGTATGTGGAATCGTTCCCCGGAAAGGGGCAGGGATCTAAAGCGTCTACCTTCACCATCTTTCCAGCGTCCACCGTTTCTTCATTCTGTGCTAGAAGATGCAGGATCTGTGGATAATATGACAAGCGAGGGCCATTTGGATCCAAGTGATGCTGGCAGACCTAATACTTCTTCATATGTTACTCGCCGACCCTTCAGAAGCAGGTCTCCTATGAATAGGGAAGAAAACGATTTTCGTGCACGTTTGGGATTGAGACCAACTGGAGACACTAGTCATGATAGGTTTGTGAATATGGGCAGGGGAAGGGGAAGGGGTAGAACTGTGAGATATGGTTCGAGACTTGATGATGCGGGACCCAGAGGCCGATATCTTGGACCTGCAAATGAGGAGTGTGATGAGTTTCTGACAGAATATTCACATCCTTACCCAAGGAGGCGCCGGTGCTTTTCACCCATAGAGAGAAGAGCGAATCATTCTTATGATTCAAGATCACCTTCAAGACCTCGGACTCGCTCTCCATTTGCGAATACTGGTTTTAGACCCCGCAGTCGATCTCCTAATTTCAGACCCGATGCTAGAATGCGAAGGCCTAGATCTCCCAATTATAGGCGTGGTTTTGAAGCAGATCATGCTAATGAATATAATCCAGGACCTCGAAACAGTAATTCATCACCACCCAGTTCCAGATGGGTAAACTACAAGGAGCGGCCTGCTATTTTTGACAGGAGATCACCTCCACCTGGGAGGACCAACGCACCACAGGGAGAAAGGTTCAGTTTTTACGACTCTTCTAGAAAACCCAAGCAGAACGAGTACTACAGATCCGGACATCCTGGAAGATTTTCCGACCTAAATGAAGGTGGGAGAGGCAGGCCCAGGTATAATGTGGGTAACGATGTTGATCGACCTAATAATGGGTATAGACGTGGGGGGTTTGTTAGGCGCTACAACATGGAAGGGGGGCCTGCAAAGAGATTCCAGTACGAGGATGAAGATGGTTTCGGTCGGGGGTTTGATGCCCGCGATAAGCACGCCTTGGAACTACATGCACGAGGGAATCCTAAACCCTGCAGTAATGGAACGGATAGCAGGTTTCGTGACTTTCCAAGACGGCCGAGGGAAGATAGAGAGATGATGGGTGGCGACTTTAAAAGGCAGTCTAGAGAAGGGAAAGATCCATCTTCCATGAACGAACGAGAGCCAAAAGAAGAAAACGAACACATAGTGGACGAGTTTCAAAGAAGGCCGAGAGAAGTGATGAAAGACCAATCTACTACTAACCCTGATTCAATGCCTAATGAAGTGGTGAAGGAAGGTGATAAACCAACGTTGGGCTCTAACTAAAACCATGACATGATCATACGGTTCGTGCTCGTTTGCCCTTGCTATATATAGGGAAAAAGGATTACACATGCATTCCTGTGGCACTGAACCTTTTGAATTTTTCTTTCTTTTCTTTTTTTCAGCTCGAAACTCATCTGAATCTTGCAGTTCTCTGGTTCTGGCTGGCTTGGGTTTAATTTGCCTTCAGATTAGTGTAGTGTTGGTTCTGCATTCACAATTTTTTTTAGTTTCGCTTTTTTTTTTTTTTTGAATAGATGTCTCCTGGACAGAATTGGGGTATTATAGCCTCCCTGGAGGCTGTTAGTTTACCTTGAAAAATCAAATCATAATTTAAATTTTCTTTCATCCTAGTCTTGGTTCTTTTTGCACCATATATCGTCTTCTCATGTTTTGAGAATGCTTGCTTGTATTCAAGAAAGAAACAGGTAGCAATCATATAATCAAATTATCCAGTTCAGAATCTACAGAGCAGACGCAAAAGAATCATATGTTTGCCGATGACAAGGTACTTACTTTTAGTCATGGATTCACAATGCACAAAACCATTCTAACTATTTTTTTTACTAGCATTTGGTTCATAAGATACAAAATCACCCAGTTTGTTCAATCCATCACCTAAAAATCTTTAGTCTTCAGCTGAATCTTCCATTACTTTCATCATCAAAATGGGTGAAGAAAGATGGTCCAGCGGTTAAGCTTTCGTAGTTTAGTTCACCTGGCTTTGCTGTTTTTTGCCTTGAAACCACGAAAAGGAACACTTTGTTAGCATACATGGGGAAGTTTAGAACAAGGGGAATGTATGTATGTGATGGAACGAAAGGATAGTTACTACACCATTCTTGATCAACAAGCATTTCTTGAGTCAAACCAAAGTCCATCATTTGTTGTTTGGTGTGATGCACTAACAAACTGTATCTTCCACCTTGGCCTGTTTGCATGACGATCATATTTCCATTGGGCATGTTGTTGAGCCTCTCAAACTGCTCAACTGTCCATTTATACCATCTCATTAAGAACACTCTCAATGTCAAACCATGTGAAACTATGACCAAGTTCATGTTAGGGCTTTGCTCCCCTGGTGGCTGAAACCTTCCAATGTCGATATCCGTTCTCAGCGTCTCCCGAAACCCTGCGCTATATTTGATCATTCTTCTTAACAATATTTTCCAGGTTTCATTTTGAATGATTTAAGAATGGTCGGAAATATTTTTAATGGATTTATATGGCATTACACTTGTAAGAGCATCTCCAACCAGCAAAAGTTTGCGGTGTTTTATTTTTGGTACGAGTAAATCTGGTTTTAGTGTGTATGGGTCCACATTTTAGTGTTCTTTTAGTTGTGTGGGTTCACATTGAACGTATTGTTAGACCAAAGTACTTTATGTTGTATGAATGAAACATGTCAAAACAAACCAGGACTAACCTGTGATTCGATCATAGACATCTGCTGCGGATTCTCCATTTGGAAAACGGTAGAAAAACCGACCGTATTGAACTCGAACTGCTTTCTGAATCTTCATCTGTTCTTGATCTTGGAAGTTACCTTGTATTTGTGAAAGACGATAACAACAAACACAATTGGTCAATACTGTAAAATATGGAGGAAAAGCACCCATTTTACAACACACACCTTGAACTTGTGTGATTCATCGTCTTGTAAATGTGCAAGAGCTAAATTCATTTGCTTTCAAAACATGAAAATGCTTTTTCTACATACCGATACAAGTACCTTAGTTTGTTAGCAGAGGAGTCGAAGGTAAAAGATCAACAAGCGGTTGGAGTAGGGCGAATTAGTTGCTTGCTCTAAAACATAATGCATGTGGGGCAATTTTAGTAGGGGTAGAATTCAACATTAACGTGCAAGGGAAGGGTACCCCAAAAGTATTTAGGCTCTATGATCCAAACGGAAGGAGATGTGATGTGTCGCACAACAGAAGTCAACGAGTGTAATGTGAACAAATTTTATAGGATAACAATCAGACTAGTGATGATGAATTGGAGTGCTGAGTGACAAAAAACCCTATGAGAGCAAGTGATGAAATTGCTTAGATGGATTTGTGGCTCAACCATATTATAACGGATAAATCGAGAGAGGGAGACTAGTGATCTGGACACATTTGCAGGAGATTGATGGCGGCATAGTTGAGGAGGGTAGAGAGTTCGACGATTGAGTGGGCGAAAAAGAGGATGTGGGATAAAGACAGCCTTCTTAAATATTTATGATGATATGAACTCTTTAAAGACAATGGAGTAGCGTCAAGTGAAGAACCTAGATTTAGGCCTGTTTGTTTTTTAAAAATTACCTCTTAATACCTCTAAAGTCTGATTCATTCAGACGTTTGAGTATTAAGAGCGTTTGTTTATTTTTAAAATAAGAGCTTAAAAGCTCTAGATGTCCTTAGAATATTTAAGGAGTAAATGTATCATTTAATACCTCTTAATCCTAATCCGCCTTCTATCACATGGTTCATATTTTGGGGGCTGGAAGAAAATTGTTAGCAAAAAATATTCATCTTTTATACTTTTATAAAAAAAATTATTTATTTTTTATATTTTTACATTAGTTTGACCGATTCAGATTTCACATTTCACACATAAAAACAAACAATCTTACTAATTCAGATTTCAAGATCACCTCTTATAAATCATAAGTAAAATCAAACTTCAATACCTCTTAAAAAACAAAAGTCGTTGATATATTTATGTATCGTTTTATCCACAGTTTTGCATAAGTTAGGTTCTTTTATGAAACAATTATTCTATCATATAATATATAGAGAATAAATCTTGAGCATATCTTACACTCATACTTAACTCCCAAATGATATATATCGAGATTGTTTGATTTGATTTATATTGTCTTGATCAAGTAATTAATCAATATATTCGTGGATCTTGATAAAAATAAAATAAAATAAAAAAAGTTAATATTTTAGTAAAGCTAATCCAACGGATGTGAATGTGAGTGAATATACTTGTGTTAGATGCTTGTACAGTACAAACACCAAAGCAGTAGGTTAATTTTTGTGCAAAATTTAAGCATGTGCGAGAGTGACGACAGAATAGACGGATAAGGATTGAAGACACTACCGAAATCCTGCTCTCGCAACCGTGGTTCTTCCCTCACGCCGGCGATTCTCGACCGTTGAAACGCCGTGCCTAAACCACGCAGAGTCTCGATCGTCCTCTGATACGGCGAAACGTAGAAGTAAACCTTCCAATCATCAGCTCCATCCTTCTCAATCATCTCTCGAATCCTCTGTCCACATTGCTCCGCCTCTCGTTTCCCTTTCTCCGTCAATCTAATCCTCGGATCTGCGACTCTGGTGTAGGCTCCTTCGTCGACGTTTCCTTCGCTCTGTCCATGTCGGACGAGAATGATCCGTCTCGGCCGTGGAGGCTTGACGGTGGAGGCGTTGAGTATGAGGTTTTTCTCCGGGAAACCGTTGTCGTCGAAGGCGAGCCTTTGTCGGCGGCCAATTGTGTCTTCGCAGCACTTGATTATGGATGAAGATAGTGTGGCTGTGGCAGACATGGTCTGTAGAAATGGAAGGAGAGAGGTAGGTGTTTATTTGGGCATATTCAAAGAATCATGCAAATTGCATTACTAAGCAATTGAAGTTAAATGAAGCGTAGAATTTCTGGGAGCGGTGGTCAATCATATCATGGATAAGCAAGTTCATTTTAGGAGGTCTTTGAATGCCAACGTGGAGATATCATATGGAGTGATAGGAGACTTGTATTAAAACGAGCAACAAATATTTAGGGTCGTAAACGAATCGAACGTTCAACGAACTGTCCGTAAACCGTTTGACAGAAAGTTTGTTTATTTAATAAATGAACGGACATAAATAATTTTTTTTGTTCGTTTAGTTAAACGAACGAACATGAACAAGAGTCTCGTTCGTTCATTTATATTTGTGCACGTTCGTTCATTTACCGTTCGTTTATATACTAAATTTAATATATAATCTTTTGTTTATTTACTTTGAATTCAATAATATTTATGTATGTTTGTTTAACATGTTAACGAACGAACACGAACACGCCTGATTTCTAAACGAATGAACACGAACACAAAGATTTTTGTTTGTTTACCGTTCGTGTTCGTTCGTTTGTTCGGTTAAGTTAAACGAACGAACATGAACAAGCTTATGTTCGTGTTCGTTTACAGCCCTACAAATATCCATGTAATTCTTTTAACCGTTACTCTCTAACTCAGTTTGTATATGTCACTAATCTCAACAGCTTTAGTGAACAATTAAGAAAGTCTTAGGGGCTGTTTGGCAGTTGCTGAATGACTTGGTGCAGAATGATTAAATGGTCAGAATGATTCAGAGGCTCTCATAATATAGTGCAAAATGAATTATAATTGTTTGATAATTGTTTACAATGAAATTAGGACGTTGAATGGTTAAGGGATGCCCATTATACAAAATTATTCAAAGGGTTTTAGAACCATTAAGAGACAGACTTCTTTTTCCACCAAATAAGGTTCACCTCTTAACGATTCAAAAACTGCCTCTAAATGTAACTATTAAAAGGTAAACAAACAACCCCTTAATAATCTTGTAGGATTTGAATCAATAGAATCATATTCTAGGTAATAGATGATTGGTTAGGGGTAGACTTGGTATGTTACTAGTTTATTTTCTTAATATAATATACCAACCAATTATAATTAGTATGCAAACTCTTATACCATATATCAACCAATAAATATTTGGTACCATCTTTTTTCAGTTGGTGCTGGTTTGTACCAATTTCAAATTACACATATAAAAACTTGCAATTTTATTCAAACTTTGAGTGATATTTTAAGTTTGGGGATAACACATGTCATGTTTAAGGATTTTTAATCGTAGGGAATAAAATTTGCAAATATAAATACTCAAAACAAAAAAGTTAAAAGTCGATATTTGTTACACCCTCATTTCACCATGAGTAATGTCACATCATTCATCTCAAATATGACCTTATGTTGTTGGAGATGACAAGAAGATACAAATGAAATCTCCATAGTCTTAGCTTAAAGTAATTACTACTCTCCAACATGAGCCCGTCTCACACGTACCATCCAAATACATAAACGACCCGAAACTTTTAGTGAACATCAAAGAGCCCGTCTCACACGTGCTATCCAAATACCTTCGATTACATAAACGAGCAGGAAAACTAACTTTAGTTCATTGTGAAACACCAAAAACTTCACGCCGTTTCTCGGTCGTTTTCTCTCAAAACTTTCGATGGTTCTGCACAATGCCAAAGAGGTATTACTCGGGAGGTAAAAACGATCTAAATGGTGTAAAAATGGTGCTCCATCTATGTTTGAACAAGGCCGTACGAAGCCTCCCAAAATGCCACCAAAATGGTGGGAAAACCACCAAGGACGGATTCATAATTTTTTTTAAACGGTGGCACCATTTGACCATAAAAAATATAAGGAAATTTTTTCAAACGGTGTCACCGTTTGACTATAAGAAATAAATATATATAATTTTTTCAAACGGTCACATCATTTGACTAAGAAAATGACACTAACAGGATTCGAAGTTGGGTCAGAAGTGGAATAAAAGTCTTGCAAATCAACTATACCAAATAAAACTTGTTCTCGTTGTAATTTTAAAATACATACGAGACACACAACAAATTAATACAGTTGCATCATTCATATAACCTAATTTTTTTAACTTTTGATAAAGAAATAATACGATGACACATGTCACCTATACACGTATCGTCATGAAAACCACCCACGTTGCCATTTTCCAACTTTAGAGACTTTTGCAGAACAGGTCTCTGAAAAGTTTATATTATCGCCCCTTGACTTTTCACCTATTTCACTTTTGATCCAACAAAATTAAACATATTTATTTTATTCCGTTTCTTTCTTTCCTTTTTGAATGTTTACGTATACACGATACTTAATATTCAATACATTGAAAATAAAAATTAATAACTAATTAAATAAATTGATATTATGATATTACCGTGATACAGGACTTCCAATATCGTATACCAACCAAGGGTTCATAATCAACATGGTAACCTAATCGATCATGACGTGGCCTCCGGAATGTCCTAATGTTTTTTTTTTTTAATTTAATGATTTTATCATATTATATTAAGGTAATCGGTTGCCAACTAAATAATTAATCAAGACCTGTAGACATATATAAAGTTCGGCTCGGACCATAAATTGATAATTTTGAAAGTCAGTTCCCTAAAATAAACATAAGATGAAAGTTGGTTCTACTTTAACATGAAAGTCGGTTCCATATATATATATATATATATATATATATATATATATATATATATACACACACACACACAAATAGGGTATGGTTCCAGTGAGAATGAGAGTTAAGTTGAGAAACATAAGTAGATATCTCCACCCGCGGATGCACATTAGGATGGGATGCACTAGATTATTCGCCGTATCAAACACGATTCATGAGTGAGTTTGAGATTAAAGATGATCAAGAATCCAAATACCTTCTTACACTTCTCACTTTAACTCTTCTTCTCACACGATCCTTCGCCTATATATATATATATATATATATATATATATTCACATTTACTGGACATATATACGAATGAGTTACATAGAGATTAAAAAAATATTGAAAATATATGTATATGAAGAGGGTAAGTGATGATGCAATTGTTTTAATTTACATAGTAATAGAGACTTAACAATCATATTAAATTAAAGAAATAAAAGGATATCGGATTTATCGGATTGAGTTTGGTTCAAATAATTGTAACCCAATTTCAACCCAATACCTATGGGTTTGAAGATTTTACAACTCAATTAGATATTGAGTTGATTATTTTACGTCAGGTTGATAGAGTTGGTTTATTTCAGATTGGATTGGCCGAGTTGGTCGGATTTTTGAACACTAGTATTGAAAACAACATTATTGAAAATGTGGACCCATACTCCTCTATTTGAGTGCTTCAATTTCATATGTGTATAAAAAAGGGAAAGGATGAATGCAAAATAGTTTGTGAAATTATCAAGTTTGAAATGATCATTGGAAATGCAAATGGGTTTTTATATGTGGTGGATATTGTTTCAGTGGATTTGAAATCATAATAGATGCGGAGAAAAATACATAAACAAATTATAACCAATTTTAATAAAATCCTGAAATTCTTATATCTGAATAATCACTAACTAATACAATATCATATATCACCAACCTCTGATTGGAATACCTACATATGTATATGTTTATTTGTACTTGTTTACATATTTATTTTTCATGCATGTCATACGTGTTACATCATTTGATGTTTGGTTATGTATGAAAATGTTTTTGACTTCTGGTGTGTCAGATTATCATGTGTCAGGACGCTAGTAGAATCAAATGGGATACTATGAAGATGCGTAAATTTAACACAAGCATTACAGGGGTACCTCTATATTTGGTTCAACTAGGTATTATCAGTACAAACTGTGGACATTGTTGTCGGTTAGTTTGGATGTGACAAATTAACCCTAACATTATGTTGCTTTAATAGTGAGTATCATATGTATTCAATCGATTTAATGATTTTTTTGACATATTTCAATAGGTCTATTTTCATTACAGTCTTTACAATTTAAGCTTACAACTATGTGTAGACATTGCATGCTTTTTATCTACGATACCATGATTTCAATTGAAACATGTTCAAATATTGTATGATATGAAACTGTGAACTCACTTACAGAAAGCTAACGAGTACCTATAATCAATTTAACCGTTCAAAACAATTTAAGAACTTTTAAACTCGTACTTATTAAGTGTAGGCTTAGGTTTGTGCCTTTGTACAAAAGTTTGGGCTTTTAACTTTTGTTGGGCAGCCCAACCTTAAGGCCCACTCCTATTGAGCATCCACTGGTACTACGATACAATTTCTAAAATGTCACGTTAACTTTAGAATTTATTTAAAAATTATCTCTTTACTAGAAAGATTTCTAATCAATTTCTAAAGTGACATATCGTTATAGAAAATAATATTTTAATCAAATAACAATAAAATTATAATTAAATATTTTTTATTATAACTTAATACCAAATAATTTATTAATTAAATAATTATAATAAAGTAAAATAAATTAAATATTTAATTTAACTTAAATGTTTTTGAGTCAATAAGAAAAGGAAGTTTATAATAAACGCACAACATTTAATAAATGTTAAAACATTAAAATACACAATAATGAAATTGTACAAATCATCATTTTATTTTTCTTCAAATCTTTTTCAAATCTCGTCAACCAAATCCGATTGTAAAAAGTGATTCGTTGACTGATTACATACTTGTATGTGATTTTGGAGATAGTTTTCGTACTTAGAGAGTATGCTATTAGAGATTTGAGGCTTAGTTATAGTAAATATTAACATCATCGTCTATATCATCAAATTGACGAAGATGAACATAACGTTCATCTTCGATGATCATGCATGTTGTGCATGATTATACATGATCTCATTATTTATCGAATTATCTATTTGCACCACATACGAGATAGCCAAAAATAATAACAAAACGCGACTGAAAAAACTTTTAAACGAATAATGATGTAATTTTATATGTGTTAAATTTAAAATAAAATTATATTTTGCATTGTTCATATATTTTTTTTATAAACGTACTTCATAAAACATCAAAAAGCATGATATGACATAAACCAATTTTTTATTTAGAAATTATATCTTACAGTTTTTAATATTATTCACTGTCACATCAACAAAAAGTATTGATTTGTTATCATCAATTACTAAAAACCAATTTTAAAAAAAAAATATATTCATAACCAACACAGTTTATTAAT